CTTAAAGGGGACCCTAATTTGGAGAACTACGCCCTCTGATGTGCTGCCCAAGTCCGAGGTTTGCAGGTCGACTGGCCAGGCTTTCGGGATCTGAAGCTGCCTTCTCTCATGGACTCGCCATAAACTCTGCCGAAGTCACATCTCAACTGCTGCCACGGGGTTGGCTGACGCCACCGCACGGCAGCCGTGGGCACGCAAGGCCGTCGCCGCTGAACCTGGACCGCGGTTCGCAGCATTCAACTTTCATTCTAAGTACACAGCAGACAGAGCGCGGCAACCATCATGATGAAGGCTCATTTCAGCGATTTGCAACACATCTGTCACCTGTCTGTGGGTCTGCATCACCTGCCCTCTCTCTCTATCTCTGTCCGTCTGTCGGTCCGTCCGTCTGGCTGACTGTCTGTCTGCCTTTCTCTGTCTGTCTCTGTCATCAGGCAGCACTCACTCACTCACATCACTAAATATCCTGTCTCTTTCCATTTCTTTTCCTTGTTCTCCTTCACTTTCTCTTTCTCTCTCGCCCCTTTGTTCTCTATGGCATCAGAGTGAGGAACTTGCTTCGACAAGGCTGTCGAGAAGCGGATAGTTAAGCTCTTGTCGTGGCCGAAGGTGGGCAGCGCCAGTGGGTATGTTGCAACAGTGGCCAGGGTCACCTGAGAGCATCGCTGAGAGCATCGAGTGATCTGCCAGAGCAGTTGGCAACGAAGAGTCCGCCACGGGCTTCGAAGGACACTTCGCAAGATGATAAGAACATGCCCGAATTCGAACCTCGAAGGCGACCCGGTTCAAATCCAGCATCAGTTTTTTTTGCAGGAACTGGCAGTTGCTGTAATTCCGTCATCGGCAGTCCCGGTCCTAGACACGGACACAGGCCCCAAAGACTTGCTATCGGCATCATGTCAAGCGGCGGCAGCAGAGGCGCAGCTGAACCTGCCTGCAGAATACTTGACACTCCGACAAGAAAAACCAGCCGCAAGCTTGGCAACTCGGATTCTGATTCGGGAAAAAACTACCATTCTTGAAAGTTACTCATTGGGTCCAGATTGTCCGAGGTCTCCTTCCCTGAGCTTGTTGCGGAGAAATGCAAAATGTTGACCTCGGCTCGAAGGCATTTTCAGAATTCTGCTGGTTAATTGGGCCATCTATGAAAGCTGCATTGCATGCTGCCCGCGCCCAGTCTACGGCCAAGGACAGGACATAAAGCGAACAGCAGATGGCACCGAAGGGAAAGCCGGCGGAGAACTTCGTGGCATTCCTGGCAACTGTCGGCACCGCTTGCCTGGCGAGCTCTTGGATTGCAGGCTTGCGCGTCGGGCAGCCCATGAGGTCGGCCACAGATGCGGCCACTGTGCGATGAGCGACGCAGGCGAAGCCTCCGGCGACAGCTGTCTGCCAGAGCGGCAAGGCCAACCCGAATGCCAGCCCAGTGCTTTGCTGACTCTCCCGCATCTCTGGAAGAGGTCTGCAGGCAGGCTGATCGGTGGCCCTGCCCTTCTGTACAAGTCTGGGCTTCCACCCTGTTCTGAAACTTCGTACACCTGGCACGTCCTTGGGGAAGCCCCAGAAGTCGAGTTGAGGCTCCACCGGAGGCTCCACGGCAGCACTCAGTTCCGGCGACGGGCCAGCGATGTCAGCCTGCCGCTTTCGACTCTTTGGGAGCTTTATACTAGGATATGCTGATATGCTCCTCTGCTCTGCTTTAACCCACAGCACCCGAGCCTCGTCCCAAGTGGTGTATGTGGTCAGCTCAACCTCCTCCACGGGTCCTCACATGGCAGCAGGAAGCAGAGCCTAGGCGCGACTCATGGAATCAGATCCCCCGCCGAAACATCCGCTCGAAAACCACTCGCTGGAACCGTTAAACCGACCTCCCGGCAACGGCTCCAAGGTGACAGGCGGTGCGCTGGGCAACGCTGCCTCTTGGAGCGTCTTGGCACTGTTTGTGGAAGGTTGTAGCAGCCAGAGCCTCCCCTGCTGGACCACGAACTCCACGGCCTGGATGTCGTGGCCTGCACGGGCCAGTACGTCCTTGCAGTGAGCCAAGCCAGCGCAAACCGGCAGCAAGCACTCTTCCAAAGAAGGGAACTCAGACGAGCGAGTGCCCTCGGCAATGCCCTCTGCCTCAGCCCACTTCTGCGATGCCTGCAAAGTCAACTGCTGATCAGGCCGCTTCTGGGCTGAGATGTCCTCCCTCTGTGCTTTCGGTAGCCAGGTGCCCGAAAAATCGCAGGGCGTGCCATCTGAGTTTTGTAGCATGAGCTTGCCAGCTCCTGAATGGAAGTCGTAATTCCCAAACACCATCGCTTGTACGATGGCAGCCCCCGAGTCAGAAATTGATTTGCCGTGAACGGCCTCCATGGCCTTCTGCAGCTGCACAGTCGGATCTTGCGGAAACACGTCGCCTGTCTGGTGTTGGTAGATGTCCTTATAGGTCTCAACCAACTGCTGCAAGTCGTTGGTCGGAATTTGCCAGACATCGTGTTTCCGTCCGAGCCAATCCCTCGCATTCAAGGCCTCGGTGACTTTCTCGAGCTCTCGCTCAAAGGGAGCGCTGTCAAGATTATGGACAACCTGGGCATAGGACACGATGAGGCGGCGATAGGAATCCCAGACGCAGTTCGGGTTCTGACGCGCTGCAAGGTGCTGAGCGATTTCATCGCTAAGTCCAATGCTGGAAACCTCCTGCTGAGCATTCCGGACCGACAGCAGCAGCGGAGCATCGGGATTCGCAAACTCTTGCTGCATTGCTGCCTCCACCTGATTCAAGGCTGCTTTGGCCCAGGGCCACAGCTCCCAAGGCTCCGGACCAGCCTTCAAGCAGAAGCCCGGAGGCACGGGAAGCCCCAAATTCGCTAACTCGCAGAGCTGGGCCGCCTGCCAGCCCAGAACCTTCACTAAGCCCAGGTGCCCATCGGAACCACCACGACCAAAGAAGCAGGTCTGATCAGAGCCTTTGCTATAGATCGTCATTGACTGCATCTTATCTAGAGCGGCCGTGGAATCTTCTTCGAAGCCGAGGACGCCCTTGTTCTGAAGCACATGCCGGATCCGACGCTTTACAGATGGTCCAGATGCTGAGTTGTCGAGGATGTCGCCGAGGGTGTTTCCACACTGATCCACGGCTGTTCGCACGATCTCCTCATCTTGCAGCTGCTCAGAGACATATTTCAGCGAGTGTCCGTTAGCTCCCACTGCAGATAAGATGAAATTGCGGTCTGCCTGGAGGAGATCCGAACAATACTGGAAAGCGCGGCCACACTGGGAGACGGCCGCCAAGGCGACTTCCACATCAGCCGTCAGCTCAGCCGCAGCAAACTTCAGGGCCAAGCCGTTCTGCTTCACCGCTTTCTCAACCACAGCCCGATCCGCACGAAGCTCCTCCGCGGCATGCTGCAAGGCCCAGACGGAGCTGGCCACAGCCCGCAGCACCACCTCACGATCCGACCAAACTTCCCCAGGTTGATTCAGCAGCTCGCTCCAGTCCTAGGAGAGACGACTACGAAAATTCCCCTACCCTCCCCAGCCCTTGGAACCGGCCCTCCTTTTTTTCGGATTTTCTCATCTCCCATCTCCTCCTCTGCGAGGCGGAGCCACTCCACCTGCTCCAAAGAGCGGCGGACTAACGTCAGATCCAGCGGTACGTCTGGCGGCTCGTCTGCACAAAGCTCCCCGAGGAGATCGGCATCGCTTAATTCACCTTTGCCGTTGCAGACTTTGGGGAAAAAAACATGACACGGGCATCGGAAGGGAACGTCCGCATGCATGTCCAATCTCTTGAAGCCACGTTGCGCAAGCCATAGATCAATCGCTGTTGGCGATAGGAAATTCCTTGATCATCCTTGCAGGCTCCAATTTCTTCACGACTGGATATATTCCTCTGATGTTTTAAGACCTACTTCGCAAAATGTACTGCAGTGGAACATTTGACTGCGTAGCTGCCTGGATGGCATGCTTGAGCTCACGAAGGGACCACGACTTGCAGGCATGCAGTGTGCATAAGAGTCCAGATGGTCCGCTGATGGCAACGCTAAGAGGCCCGGCCACCGCAGACCCTCGTGGAACAGGCTCCATCGTTTCAACACTTCAAACACGACTTGAAAAGTCTCCCGTAGCACTGTCTTTGGCTCGAGACAGCTGGCGGATGTCGTAAATCGCAAGCATTCGACTACGAGCCGATTAACTGGCACCCAGATCTGCACAAAGTTACAAGTTGCTTCGGCCATCCGTCTTTTCCTGATCATTTGGCACCTGCATTGCGACGGCTCTCTCCTTCAGAGATGCTGTGATACCTTTGGCCGGTTTTCAAACGAAACAGGCATTCCTTCTTAATTGCCCACCTGCCGGGCTCTCCTTGGCTCTCATGCAGCCTATCAGAACTTCAAGTCACGCGCTTGTACCGACAGACGTACGCTGGGTAAACCTGATCTTCGTCAAAGACGACAATCTCGCGGTACCTGGTGCAAGCGTGCATGCAAACAGTTTGGGCCGGACTCTGCGCAGGGGAGGGGTCATGCCTGCAAAACGCTGCCTGCGATGCTACTCGGGCTGGTGCGGTGTCTGGCAAGATTTCACTGTCCCAGCACATGATGCCGGACAGCTTGCCGTAACCAGATAGTTTACCGCAGCGTTACAGTTTCTACCACTCCGTGAACAAAGACCATCAAAGACCTTGGAAACAAGCAGCCGGTAACCTGAAATCAGACCCCGTGCCCAGAGTTCAGAATGACGATTCCAGAGGCGAGCGGCGTGCCCCGGATCTTTTCCTGCAGCGGTCAAACTTATGCTTTCATTTTGCCTCACACTCTTCCAGAGCTGACCCCGGCACATAGACGAAGCCCCAAATCTCATTCCCAGATCCGCAGCTCCAAACAATGCATTCGGGAGCTCACGTCTCGGGTTCTGTCTGTGGAATTAGTTCCAACGGTATTAGTACACGGCCCGTGCATACCCGTGCTAAATGGCAAGTCGTGCGAGTCGACATGGTACCAGGCACAAAGTTGGCACGATCTTATCCGACTATCCCTCGATACCTGTGCGCATGTACGCTCATAAGTATGCATGTATGTATGTGTCTGTGTGGAAGTACATGTGCAGCAGCTTGCATGCATGTCCGAATGCAGATGCGACGGTGAGAGCACCCGTGCGTGCGTGCGGGTGTGTGTTTGTGCGCACGCCTGTGCATGGGCAGAGGAATGTACAGGAAACATCTTGCAGCATCTTGCATGATGTAAGCGACACTTCGAGCGTTCGCGAGGCCATGCTTTAAACCGCGCGCTGCGAATCGCAGAGCGCATGCTGGATAATTTCACACTCGGCACTCTGCAAAGGTACTTCCTACTGTGCATTTCAGGTCCAGGCTTATATACTTTCGACTCGCACCTCGCTCACAGCTTCCAGACAAGTCCACAACAAAAGGGTGTCTCACTACACAGCTGTGCGCAAGTCCCCGAACCGGAAGCAACCCACAATAAATACCCAGCAGACCATAGAACAAGCCTTCAACCCATCGCAACATCTACAGACACCACTACAGAGCACAGTGTGCTGGTGCCTAAGCTTCGAGCCGAGTCTCCCGGTCGCCAAGGATGCTGTGAAAGCCACCGCCCTTGCAGGATGCCTCGGGCCGTGCTGAACCCAGCCCTCCCTGAACTAAACCTCGTTTTCACGCTATAAACTCTGGGACTCTCGAAGTCATATATCAAGCCAAACATCTCTCCGGCAGCATGGGAGGCAAGAAGGCTCCGGGAAAGGTTTCCTTCTGTCGGGCTGCTGCAAGCTCATCACCATCGGGCCGCTTCTGATCATTGTAATTCCTTGCGAGAGGGATGAAAGATGTAGGGCTGCTTTCAAGATCTAACGCTTCATGGGCAGCGAAAGGCTTCCAACAACATCCCTATGCTTGAAAGGGCGTGCGCTTTCCAAGCTGGTTCTAGCTTTGAGCTTCACTCTCCCGGAAAACTCCCGTAGCCTCTGTCGGTCCACCCATGTGTCCGTCGGAAAACGTCTCTTGCGGACAGAAAGACTCTAGTGACTCAAGTGTAGTGAAACCAGACTGGTCACTGAATCGCCTGAGCACCTCGCAGAAGCCAAAACAGACGACTATTCACAGCAAACGCCCTGCAGTTGGTTGACCACCGTAGCCGGTTGAGCGTCACACGTTTGCTGCCCCTGCCCGCAGGAACCATGAAAACACCAAATGCCGCCAAGACGCACTTGCCCGAGGGCACTTAGGCAAATCAGCATGCTGCGCAAGCCATTGGGATGTGGCGTGGTATACTCATCACTTTTGGACACAGCCTCAAGGGATAAATTGGAGGCTGAATGAACCAATTAAAGTCACCACTTTTGCATCGAAACGCCGCACGTGCTTTTCAACTTCGCTGTGCACACAAACACACGCGCACACACACACACACATCCTTTGAGGTTGGGAATGCGCTGGTTTCAAACTGGTTCATGCTTTGAAGCCCGGGATCTCGCACCTCCGCCAGGTACACACCATTGCCTGTCAAAGCTCCACAGTCACACAACAAAACTCGCTGGCCCGCGAAGAGGGAAAAGTGCCAGGAAACTGTTTGTAAGCTCCGGACCATACAGGGTACCGGCATTACTGCCGGCCATATTCAGTCGGAAGTCACCTTCCGTTATTCCAGCCTCGCCGGCCAGAGATGTGCCATGGAAAAGCCAATGCTCGTTGGGACCTGGCTCTGCCCCTGTCTGCCAGTCAGGTGGCTCGCCAAGTGTGCTCTTGTCTGTCTTCAACTCGCCAACCCAGGAAGTACCACCCTTGGCCATGTCTTGCATCACAGCCTGACGACGACGAGCATATTCCCCCCAGCTCCCGCAGTTGTAGACTTGCTCCACTTCTTGGACTTCCAAGGACTTGGGAACGCTCTCGCCCTTGCGGTCTCGAGTATAAATCCCTAGGAAAGTCTTTTCGAAAAGACCTTGCAGCCATTGGAACTGAGGATGATCGGCTGGGAGGGCCTTCTTGATCACTATGTCACCCGCTGAAAAGACAATATCACAGAGACCTTCACCACCACCTGCAAGTCCTTGCTTCAACAGGTCCAGAAGATTCCAACCACTCGGAATCTGAAGTTCCTGGCAATACCAACTCACCAACGCTTCCAAGTTCTCTCCAACCATGCTCATCGCCAGTGAAGCCATTGTCGCCGGGCCTGAAGATGGCTCATCGTCGCCATCTCCACTTGGGCTCTTAGCCGCGGAACTCAGTCCAGCTACGACGAATAGAGCATATCTCACCGCATCGGAGGTGCTCAGGCCGTCCGCGAGCGACTCTTTTCCTTACGGCCGGGGAAATCTGTCTCCGTCGATGGGGGCTGTCGTGACACTGGCTGTCTGTCGGCCTTTCGTCGTGGAGGTCTAGCTGGATACCTGTCTTCCTCACTCCTCTTCTTAGGAATGCATACATCCGGAAACCCTGAACCCTCAGCCTTAATGGCCGCACCAGGTTTCGCCAAAGCCAAGCGTCCAGAAGCACAAGCCTCCGCGGCCCACTGAAGCCTGGCGGAAATTTCCTGTGAGAGCAAGTTCTCGAGCTCCTTCCATATGCTTTGGATGAATCGTCTTTGTTCTGGGCTTGGCTTCAACCGCAGAACAAAGTTCAGCCTTCTTATGCAGGCTCTTCGAATATGGGAACACAACACACCCATCCCAGACCACAAGGGCCGAGTGCGGGAATTCCGGACATGCTAAGAGCCCTGAGGTTCTGAAGCCCCAAACCCGTAGCCTCGAAATCCCCAAAGGCCGAAACCCGGCTCCGTCGGGCTGAGCAATTCACTGCAGTCGGCTTTGCCTTTGCCCGCCCGGCTCACCAAGCGCAGCAGCTCCCAGAAATCGCTCTGCAGAACCTTCGAGGTGGGGGCGGTGGCCATCAGAACGATACGCATTCCTCCGGACACCAAGGACGAGAGAGATGCGCACGATGATGCGATGCATTACGATGCGGATGGTCAGGTCGACGACGAACATTACGACGTCTATGTCTATGGGTCTCTTGGCATGTGATTCTGAAAGTTTCATTCTTGAGCACGAGGGTTAGTCAACGATGTCCACGGCGACGACGGAGGACAAGACCTCTGGGTCTAAAATCTGCTACAAGGAGGAGTGGAACTAGGAGGACGACGACGAAGATGACGTGATGAATACCGCGCTAACTGGATGGCGAGCAAGATTTCCAAAAAAGAACGACAATTCTGGCATCCACCACAGTGTACGACAGCTCGCCTTCCCAATGGAGCTGATGCTCTTGACCTGGACTTTGGTCTCCCCTTCCCGCCCGAGGTTCACTCTGGGGTTGGCAGACGCAAAGGCAGTAGCTTCCGCTACAAAGTGGCCTGCCTCCGATCCATGCAGGCCTTCCCTGACTAGCGGAGAAACCAGAGCCGTCACCTTCCCCCTTGGAAGCTCTTCCGTCGGAATCGTTCGGACACCTTCGAACTCAATGGCAAGTCTCATCAAGCGGAAGAGGTCCGCCATATTCTCGGGCTTCATACCGTCACATGCTTCACAGATGTATTCATACATGAACTTCTCCAATGCCTGCTGGGTTTCCGGGTTGTGCTTGGAGCATTGGCACGGCAAGGCCCGGCCTGGAACATTGTTGACAGGCTCAAACAGCGCTTGCGGATATGCCTTTGCAACCATTAGGACCGTCTCGGTCTTCATGCTCTTGTTCTCGGCCGCGTAGTGCAATGGCAGGCGCTTGGCATAGGACGTTTTCAAACTCAGCATCTTGCCCCACAGTGACAGGTCGGCCCCCTTGTCTAAGAGCAGCGGGATGAACCTATGCAGCGAATCCTTTTTCGCCACGCATGCAGCATGGATAGGGGCGAACTCCCCGCCAAGGCTTCCCTCTTCTTCTGCAACAGTTGACACGGTGTTAAAGCTCTTAGTGCCTTCCGCCAATCTCTCAAACATCGCTGCCGCCTTCTCAGGGTCTTTCACCTTCAGCAAGGCGGTGGTCAAGAGCTTGGAATTACCTGACTTCGGAAGAGAACCGGCCCCGACAAAGCAAGCGCTCTAGATTAGCTGATTAGCTATTGATATTCCTTCCAAGGCTCCTGGGATTTTGTATTTGGTAACCAATGTATCGACCATGTCGGTGTCGCCGGAAAGGACGAACTCCTGCATGCCATCCTGCAGCAAGCCTGTCGAAAAGTCGTACTTCAATGCCCTTTCAACAAGCAAAACAATGCAGTTCCAGTGCCGCGTCTTGATTGCTGCCATCAGTGGATTCACCTCTGGATCATCTCTGCCAATGTAAGGCCGAACGCCCAGGGACAGGAGTGTCTCTAGAGTTTCTGCATTGCCCGCCAAGGCCGCCGTCACGGTTGCTTCTCTGGCACCCGGCTTGCCGACGCACTTTGGCCACTTGTCAATCAATACTTTCACGTCATTGGCATCCCCTTCGGCGGCCAAGCTATTCAGCTTGTCGAAGAACCAGTCTTCATCCGACCGGTGCCCTCGCTTGGCCCCTTCTACTCGCTTGGCGTCGGCTTCATCCACGGGTTCCTTGACTCTGGGACTCTTCTTGTCGGGTGCCTTGCTCGCACCACTGCCCATGCCGAGGCCACAGACTCGTCCGATACGAATCTGAGCCCAAGTCTGCACCCAGGGAATGCCACGCAAAGAGACTACCAATTGTAGGTCCCCGTCAGCATCAATGCAAGACTATAGGTTTTGTATGAGTGTAATCTGAACGATCTGAACTCTTAACCTTAACCATCTTTTGGCATCTTTTCCACTGTCGTGTGTGGTTCAGAGCAGCACTGGAGGACTATGTCAGTGCCATTCATCATCAATAAAAAGTCGCCGTGTCGCGTGCCGAAACCTACAGAGACTGTCCTGAGCCAGAATGCAATCAGCAACCAGACAAGGGTGCACTCATGTTGCATCCAAACAGACTCCGCCGGACTGGTGCCAAAAAAAACTCCAACAAACGCCCATAAATTGCTGCCCTTTTCCGCGGCTGTGCCGCGCCGTGGTCGCAGTCCCCCTGGCTAGGGAAGAGCTCTGCCATTCTGCGCGCGGAGAAAGGCTTCGAGTCTGCCTCCCAGGAACTGCCGAGGCCTACGAAACTGTTTGGCGAAAACGTTGGGCTTTCTTTGGGGACAGGGGGTGAAACGTGTGCCTCCAAATCGAAGAACAGGATGGGCGTGGACTCGGCTCGACCGCAAGCCCTGTCGTAGCTGTCTCGCATCTTGCTGAAGACTTCGTGGCGACAACTCTCCACCTGCAGGTTTGCGCAAACCCTAATGACATGGTGTGAGCTCTGTACCGAAAGGAGGGTCGGCTAGTCAGGGTCAGGTAACCTCGCGCCTGCCGGCCGTGCTCATCCAGTGGAGCCGGTGGTTGCACACGTGCAAAAGCAGCGAGGCCGTTTGTTCTGCACTGCCAGAGCCGCAGCTGATTCATGTTGAACCTTCTTTGGATGCCTTGCTTCTGCATCTCTTCAAAGAGCATTGCTGGAGTGCCCACTTGCACCATAACCTGCAGGAACGGCACGGTCCGAATCCACGCCAACGTATGTCTTGTATGGGCTTAGGGTTTTAACTTTCTCGGTTACTTCGGAATTCGAAGCAAATCGCAGACAGCATTGGCAGACATCCGGCAGCAGCAAGCGGAATCGAACAGAACGCAATGGACGAGAAGCAAGCAGCAAAACTGAGATGCAGAACAACAAGAAGACGTACCCACCTCGTTGTATCCAAGGTTGTGATGTCGCACGCCAGCTGCCACTTGGCTGGGAGACGGCTTCGGGTTGAAGCGCTTCTGATCTGCAACAAACCTGAACATCGAAACTCAGTTTTCTCTCCGTGGGCAAAGCTGATGCAACCCTGCATATTTCGAAAAGCCGCCCCACAACTTCGAGGGAGGCCCTCAAGCCTAAACCCGTTCTTGCTTGCTTGCTTGCAAGGCGTCTGGGTACGGGGACGAATCCCCAATACCCTGCGCTCACGCGCTACGCCGCTGTCCGT